ATAGAAAGGCATATAAGTTGGAGGTGGCTCAAGTCCTTGGGAACTTATGTTATACAAATGTGTCTTCTGGATGCTGAACATAGAGCTATAGAATTGAGTGTGTGCCATGTTGGGCTTCATTCTCACTTAGGTCTCAATTATCCTTTCCATGAACCTATTTCTGCCTTTGGGGCACACATATTTATGCCATCTCACTGCATGCTGAAAGTAACTAATTTCTTTTGAATTTTACAAGGATTCACACTTAAGATTTTAGCATGTGTCTTAGAGAAGATATTAAAATATGGACATTTTCAGAATTCCTGGAACTTTTAAGATTTTTTAAGGTTCTTGAACATGGGCAGGATGTGTTTTTCATTACAATATGAGTGTGGGGACTTTGAGAGCCAGGAGTGGCATGTTACAGTTGAAGGAGGTAGGCTTGTATGACAAGTGGACAAGAAGTAGAGTTATAATGCTTAACATTGATTGTTGACTTGATAGAATTGAGAAGTGTGTAGCAGATCAATAAAATATATTTCTGAATATTTCTATAAGGATATTTCCAGAGAGAATTAACTATGTGAGAAGGCTATTCCTTGAATGTGGGTGGCATCATCCCATAGGCTCAGAGCTTAGAAGAAGTCAAACGACAAAAGGAGAAAGTGCACTACAACAAATACACTCTGTGCCTCCTACCTGTCATGAGTTGGCAGGTTTTGTTCTACTTTAGGCTTCCTACCATCACATTCTGTCTCACCAGAGCCAAGGACAACCTGGTCAGCTGACCATTGGTAGAACCTTTGAAACTGGGTGTCAGAATAAAACTTACCACCTTAAATGTTGTTCTGACGTGCTTTCTTAGTTTTATGGGATAATTGAGCAGATTAACTCTTAATTGCACTCCATTCTTGGTGTTAAATGCTTTATAAAACATTCTTTCTTACAAATAGCTATGTGAAGTCAATTTGTATTACAAAGAAAAAACATTTTAGAAGAATGAAGAAACTCACCAAAATCCTTAAGGATAAATGGAAGAGATCCCCATTTACAGAACCCTGTAAGCTACAAGCCTCACCCTGCACCACTCAAACTTGCCTATCCTCTTGAAATCTTAGTGTAACTCTGAAACACACCTTGTTACAGTACAGAGAGGACCAAGATAGAGGACCAAAAGAGAGGAACAAGAGAGAAATTCTAAAGCACAAGCTGTGACTGCACAGAGCAAAATAAGAGAGCTAACCAGGAGAGCAGACGAAAAGAAGAGGCTAAGAGAGATCCCACTGGTTCCCTGAGTCATAGACATTGAAAGTACAGAGCAGATCAAGAATAGTTCCCAAAGACACAAACAGCCACTGAAAAAGAATAAACCAAGATGCAAAAATACTGCTGGCATCAATAGAAGGAAAAGATGGGTAGGAACCAATGTAAGGATCCATCCAACAACCTAAAAAGCATCATGGTAACACCAGAACCCAGTGGTCATGTAACAGGAAGACTTGATCATTCTAATGCAGAAGAAGCAGAGGAAAATGATTTTAAACATAACTTTATGAAAATGATGGAAATCTTTAAAAAGGAAATGAAAAACTCCCTTAAAGAAATGCAAGAAAGACCTTAGGCAGCAAACTGCCTGGAACGGGTACAAGGGAGTGACTGCTGAGGGAGTAGGTTGGAATCTGAGACTTCTTTACACAGATGATAAATGGTCTGAGAAAGAAATCAGAGAAACATCACCCTTCACCATAAATACAAATAGAATAAAACATCTCAGAGTAACTCTAAGCAAACAAGTGGAAGTCCTATATGATAAGAACTTTAAATCTTTCAAGAGAGGAATTGAAGAAGACACCAGAAAATGAAAAGATCTCACATATTCTTGGGTAGGTAGAATTAACATAGTAAAAATGGCAATTTTATCAAAAGCAATTTACAGATTCAATTCAATGCCAGACAAATTTTCAGCAATATTCTTCACAGAACTTAAAAGAACAGTACTCAACTTCATGTGGAAGGGCAAAATTGAAGGCTTCCTAGAATTCAATGAAAATGAAGGCATAATGTACCCAAACCTATGTGACACTATGAAAACAGTGCTAAGAGGAAATAAAGTTCATAGCACTAAGTGCCTACATGATAAAAGTCTTGGAGAGTTCAGAGATACAAGGAACATATTTAAACATAATAAAGGCAATATATAGCAAGTTGATAGCCAACATCAAATTAAATGGAGAGAAACTCAAAGCAATTCCATTAATATCAGGAACATGACAAGGCTTTCCACTCTTTCCATATCTATTCAATAGTTCTTGAAGTTCTGGCTATAGAAATAAAACAATAAAAGGAGATGAAGGGGATTCAAACTGGAAAGGAAGGAGTCAAACTTTTGTTATTGGCAGATAATATGATAGTATATATAAGTGACCCTAAAAACTCTACTAGAGAACTCCTTCAGTGGTGTGGCAGAATACAAGATCAACTAAAAAAAATCAGTAACCTTCCTATACACAAATGGTAAAGAAGCTGAGAAAGAAAACATAGAAACATCCCCTTTCACAATAGCCACAAATAACATAAAATATCTTGGGGTAACACTAACCGAAGAAGTGAAAGACATATTTGGCAAGAACCTTAAGTCTTTGAAGAAAGAAATTGAAGAAGATAGCAGAAAATGGAAAGATCTCCCATGTTCTTGGGTAGGAAGAATCAACATAATAAAAATGGCAATCTTACCAAAAGCAATCTATAAATTCAATGCAATCTCCATTAAAATCCCAACACAATTATTCACAGGCCTTGAAAGAACAACATTCAACTTCATATGGAAAAACAAAAACCCAGAATAGCCAGAACAATCCTGTACAATAAAGGAACTTCTGGAGGCGTCACTATCCCTGACATCAAGCTCTATTACAGAGTTACAGCTTGGTATTGGCATAAAAACTGAGAGGTTGACCAATGGAATCAAATCAAAGACCCAGATATTAATCCATACACATGTGCAACTGGATTTTTGACAAAGAAGCTAAAATTGTACAATGGGAAAAAGACAACATCTTCAAAAAATGGTGCTGACATAGCTGGATGTCACCATGTAGATGAATGAAAAAAGATCCATATATATCCCTGTGCACAAAACTCAAGTCCAAATGGATTAAAAACCTCAATATAAATCTGACCACACCAAACCTGACAGAAGAGAAAGTGGAAAGTAGCCTTTAATGCATGGACACAGCAAACCACTTCCTAAATATAAGACCAGTAGCACAGACACTGAGAGCAACAGTAAATAAATTGGACCTCCTGAAACTGAGAAGTTTCTGTAAAGCAAAGGACACAGTCTATAAGACAAAAGGGCAGCCTACTGTATGGGAAAGATTTTTATCAACCCCACATCAGAAAAAGGACTGATCTTCAGACTATATAAAGAACTCAAGAAATCAGACATTAAATTCTAAATAACTCAATTAAAAAAATGGTATACAGAATTAAACAGAATTCTCAACAGAAGAATCTCAAATGGCCAAAAGACACTTAAGGAAATGTTCAACATCCTTAGCTATCAGAGAAATGTAAATCAAAACAACTCTAAAATACTATTTTACACCTGTCAAAATGGCTAAGATCAAAAACACCAATGATAGCTTATGCTGGAAAGTATGTGGAGTAAGAGAAACACTCATCTGTTGATGGTGGGAATGCAAACTTGCACAACCTGGAAACCAGTATGGCTGTTTGTCAGAAAATTGGGAATCAACCTTCTTCAAGATCCAGCAATATGACCCTTGGGCATATACTCAGAAGATGCTCAAACACACTACAGAGATATATGTTCATTTATGTTAATAGCAACATTATTTGTAGTAGCCAGAACCTGGAAACAACCTAGATGCCTTTCGACCAAAGAATGGATAAAGAAAATGTGGCACATTTCCGCATTAGAATGTTACTCAGTTGTATAAAACAATGACATCTTGAATTTTTCATGCAATGGATGGAACTAGAAAAAAACATCCTGAGTGAGGTAACCCACACCCAAAAAGATGAATATGGTATTTACTCACTCATAAGTGGATATGACCTATAAACAAAGGATGTTGAACCTATAGTTCATGATCCTAGAGAAGCTAAATAACAAGGTTAACCCTAAATATATNAAAAAGTCAAAATAGACAAGATTGCCTGAAAAAATTGGGAGCATGGTGGGGAGGAGGGAAGGTAGAAACGGAAGAGGAAGAGAGAAGGGGAAGGGAAGGTGAACTTGAGAGAATGTGATAGTCAAGATGTAGATGAGAACAAGGAAAGTGATACCTTTATTAAAGAAACCATTACCAAACTAGCGAAAAACCTGGCTCTACAGAAATTCCTAGGACTCCACAAGGACAACCCCAACTGAGACCCTAAGCAAAAGAGGAGAGAATGGAACCGACCTTGCTCTGTAGTCAAACTGATGAGTATCTTAAATATCACCATAGAAACCTCATCCAGCAGCTGATGGAAAAAGAGGCAGAGAGCTGCATCGGAGCACTGGACTGAAGAGTGGGAGGAGTGAGAATATGAGCAAAGAGGTCCAGACCCTGATAGGTAAACCCACTGAATGGTGTACTCTTGGGTACCTGAGTTAATGGGATCTCACCAAATCCAACCTTACAGGGAAGGAACAAACATAGGTCCACACTATTCCCTCTCAATGTGGTTGACAGTTGCATGGCTGGGGCAGACTGAGGGGCAACTGGCAGTGGCACCAAAATTTATCTCTACTGAATTTACTGGCTTTTTTGAGAACCTATTCTTTTTGAATGGATACTTTGCTCAGCATAGATATATTACGGATGGTCTTGGATCTTCCCCAAACAATGTACCTTTCCCTCTCTGTGGAGTGGATGGGGCTGGGGTTGGGTGTAAGTGGAAGGAACAGGAGGAGGGGAGTGAGTATGAACTTGGATTGGTATTGTTGGACTCTAGCGTCCAAACACCGAGAAGGAGTCGCCCCCAGAGACCATCTAACACACCACAACCGATGCAAAAGCATGAGGATTTTATTAATTCTGTCATGACAGGGTCCCCCAGCATTCGGGAAGCCAAGGGACCTAGAATAGCTGATACAGTCTACTTTTAAAGGGGCCACAGAAGCAAGGGGGGTTGTTCTTTGACTATTCTGATTGGCTTATTCGAAAGGGCTATTACCAGTAATTGACTGGAGAGCTGTTGCCAGATCAGATGAGGTAAGAGGTCATTTTGACCCCGTTTCCCAGGGGACCGAACCAAAACATACGTATATGGGTAATTGTTCAGGAACTGAGTACGTGCGAGTGTAGCTGTTAGGTCCTTGGTTCCCAGGGGAGGAGGAGAAGCACTATGGCACAGAGGCTGAGAGGATTTAGAATTGTCAAAAATGGCTTCAGGATTGTCTTAAAGTCTTACATTCCCTCCTCTTATTTCGTCAAATATTAGTAAATTTGGAGGACCAATTGGATCTGTACACAGAGATTAACAAACCAGTGTTGTAGACCCATCATAGATCAATAAACTGTCAGATGAGTCTATTTCCTCATATTAGGGAGGTCCTGCTGACAAGCATATCCAACAAGATTGTGTCAAGCTGGGGTCAGTACTATTTAGCAAAGAAAAGGCTCCCACTATCAGATTAAACAGTCACTGGCCTGTATTAGAGCTTGCCAGCAGTGAAGCAGGAGTTGCAGAAGGGTTTTTAGGACTAGGAGTGGAGCCCAGGGCCCTGGAAAGGGGGGCTACCTCAGCAGGGGCTAGCTGGCCCTGGTCAGGTAACATCGGGTTGGGCCCTAATACTATGGTCATTGGAGGTGTTACAACAACTCACAGGGTGAGAAGAATCCCTATGTTTTTCCTTCTTGGATCATAAAAACATAAACACCAAGTATTGCCTGTTAACTGGTTAGCTTTTTTTTTTTTCTTTTTTTTTTTTCTCAGTGAAAGTGATTGTGATTTTAGATTTTTTTTTTTCTGGTGTGGTACGGGTGAAAGAGACTAAGTCCTTTTTGTTAACCCTCAACCAAAAGACATTAACATTGCTTTTATATCCCCAGGCAGCACAATAAAATATTTTAGGCCCCCCCATATTGCCTTTTCCCCCGGACAAATATATCATTCAGAATATTTGCAAACAGGATAAAAGTTTCCAGGGGTTTGTTCAGTATCCTCCCAAGAGTAATTTGCTAAACACAGGTCAAAAGTTAGCTGGGGGAACCAGGTATTCAGGGGATGAACTCCAGCGGCTAGCCTTAAGGCTTGCCCAGTCTCAAAGTTAGTCAGGGTCCAGATTAAACATCAGGGCAAAGATCAGCAAGCCTGGCAGAATCAGGCCTCCTTGAGAGGATTTGGGGTATGCTGAAACTTTCACTTGGAAGGTCCTGGGTCGTACTGTGGAGGTGCAGGCTTGACGTGAGACGCACGGATCCAGGCTGCAATACCGTACACATTGAAGGCAGTAGGTGTAGGGTCCTTTTCAGCGAGGTTCAAGGTTCTGGGACTGGTGTCTCCGAACATACACAGAATCACCAACCTGGAACGGGTGTGAGATTTCCGGGTGCCTGGGCTGGTTTTGGGAGGTGCCAGCAGAGAAGCAGGGAGAGTAGCTTAGTCCAGCGGGCAGCAGCAGGGATAGCTAGGGCCCCTTTAGGGAAAGTCTAGTCTGGCCTGCAGCAGCAGGCTCTGGTCAGATAAATACCATTTTATGTCCCAAGTCCTTCCCGACACCCATGGAGACAGTCCTGCCTCTTGCCCCTGGGAGACAAGTGGGGGAGATGTCTGAACCCCCGCGTCCAAATATTTTCTCCAGGGGAAAATCTGCCAGCCTCAAGGGGCAGCTGTGGGGGATATGCATCTCGGATATCCCAGGAGGCTAGCCCTGCTACTAGTTGACAGAAATCAGGGGTGAGGGCAGGGGTATCAAAGCAAGGGCTTGAGGAAGCCTGGACTGCAGGTATGAGCGGGCAGCTGCTGTTCTGGCTCTGGGGTGCTGCAGCTTTTCTCATGTCCCTCCGGATATACCCCAGGCATCAATTCTGGAACGAATGCAAGATTTCCAGGTGTCAGGGTGGCCAGGGGTCTCTATGCCTGGGCTCGGAGATCTGGAGAGTCTTCAACTGTGCCTGCAGATGGGGTTTGTGAGCAAATGGGTCATGAGGGGCCTTAGGAAACTAAGAGGGGGTCCCCCATATTGGATCTCATAGGGGGTTAGTCCAAGCTGAGACGGGGTGTTTCGTACACAGAACAGGGCTAGGGGAAGGAGCTGTACCCAGTCTCTAGTGCCAGACTCCAAAGGCTAATTTGGTAAGGGTCTTTATCCTTTTTACCTGTCCTGAACTCTGGGGTCTTTATGCACAATGTAATTTTCCCAGTCTTACCTATACCCTGACTTTTCTGAGCAACACGGCAGTTTTACCATCAACCTCGATTACCTTGAGCAGGCCAAACCTCGAGAAGATTTCTTCTTTGATCTTCTTAGTCCTGGTAAGAAAAAGCTTCTCTGCCTTCCGGCCGATGTCCCTTTAAGTAGGCTGCTCAACTCATTCACCATTGCTGCCCTGTCTTCTTCAGCAAATCCTACCGGCACACGCCACTAAAACTGGCTCTGCTTGGGCATTGCAGTACCCCAAGCTTCCCACAGCTGCGGTCTGGGAGCTGGGCTCTGTGAAACTTGCAAGCAGCTCAGGAAGGCTGTTTGGAATTGGGCTCCAGCATCTCCAGGACCCCTCTTCATTTCAGTTAGTTGCTGCCTGTGGGGGCAGGTGGCTGTAAGCAGAGTTCCCAGGCTTGGGCTGTGACCAAGGCAGCTGGGAGGATTCAGCCGGCAGTGGCTGCAAAGCCTTCCTCAGCGAGGTGGGCATGGCGAAGGCAGAGAGCAGCCTGCTTTTCTTTACAGCCCTGGAGAACAGTAGGGGAAGTCAAAGTCTTCAACAGGTCTTTTTCTAATAAAAGCATGGGACACTCAGGAATAATCAGTAGTTCTTGTGTCCGTAGTCAAATGCTTTAGACATAGTGAGGGGGAACCCCTCCCCTTTTTTCTCCGTACACCCCAGAATCGAACACCTGGGTGCACAGCGTAAGCAAGGGGGGGGGATTTCAGTACTATCACTGTGGCTGCTGCGTTGGCCTCTTAGGTGGGCAGGGTGCCGCTTCAGTAGCCGGCTGTGCTCGGCGCGGCCATTCTCCGACCTGCTTCTGCTCAGCAGCTGCTTTGGGAAGTGTCTCGAGCCCAAAGTCCTGTAGGGCCACTCCTCATTGAAGTCTGCCTTCGGCCATTCAGGGGCTGCTCTGTCTGAGGTGTGCAGTCTCTGCAGCTGTCATCTTCTGTTGCCTCCCTATCTGTCTAATTTTTTTCCTTTACTAAGTACTGGAGGGAGCATCTCTGCAGTCCCTCCATTCTCTGCAACTTGCTGTCTGATGCTGACTGGACTATAAAAGACATCATTACATTGGCTTGGTGATCTGCTGCCGTGGGATCAAAATGGGTGTACATCTTGTACCCCTCCAATAGTCTTTCTAAAAATCCTGCAGGAGTACTATCAGACCTTTGTACTATTGCTCTTACCTTAGCCAAATTAGCAAATTAGTGGGGTGCTTTGCAACCCCTCCTCCCGCCAACTGGACCCTGGCAATAAAGATGGAGCTGCTCCCTACCAGTTGGAGAATTGAGTCCCATCCTCTATCTTGTCCGGTGATTGGGTTGGCCTGCTGTCAGCTCCTGGGACATTTTTTTTTCCTCTGTGGTTAGGAGCACCTGTAAGAGCTGCTGGCAATCATTCCAAGTGGGTTGATGAATAACCAGAACATATTCTATAAGCCCGGTCATGGCCTGAGGGTCCCGAGAAAAGGAAGGGTTGTAAGTAAAGATTAGAAGCAGAAAAAGGCAGTATTGTAATTGGCCTGCTACCGAGCGAAGGGGAAATGTTTGGTAAATCACTCTCATCCTTCCCCTGTCCCAGCTTAGATGCTGAGTACTGAAGTTTTCAGGGCTAGGGCCAGACCAGCGGGGCTCCTCAGGAACGAAGTGCTTCCTCTGGGGGAGGAGGAGGGAGAAGTCTGTCATGCTCCGCTGGATATCAGGAAGAACCAGAGGTGCCTGGATTCTGGGTTTCTTTTGCTCCTGTACAGGAAAGAGAGAAGACAAAGGGCTTGGGGAGGGGCAGCCATCACCTCCTCCAGCAGTGGGGCTGCTTTCGGAATCAGGGAAACTGACAATGGCCAGGGGGCCAGTGCCAGGGTCTGAATTCCTGCAGGTGGATTTTAACAAAGACAAACCAACATACAAAAAACAAAAAATACAAAGAGACAGACATAAACTTAAAACCAGAAGCTGGTTCTCTCACCACCAGTCTGGTGTAGAACTGAAAATACACAAGAACAAAAAGACAGACATAGACTCAAAATCAGAAGCCGCGCAGCAACAGATCCAAAAATACAGATGGAGGATCACATCTACCCTGGAGATTAGGGCGACCTGGTCGCCCCTTCCTCCCATAAATGCCCATGAAACGTCTTTCAGGGCTAGGGCAAGGGATCTCAGGACACGTCTGCCTCCTCCCTTAGCCCCGTTTCAATACAGACCCTGCGCAAGTACAATTCTTAGATTACTAATTCACAATTACACTGAAACAGAAACACAATACACAAACAGACAGGCATATAAATGAGCTCCTTTCTTTATACCTCCAACTGGGTCTAGAGTGTGTCTGGGAGCGACTCGATTCCCGGTCAGGGAACCAAATGTTGGACGCTAGCGTCCAAACACCGAGGAGGAGTCTCCCCCAGAGACCATCTAACACACCACAACCAATGCAAAAACATGAGGATTTTATTAATTCTGTCATGACAGGGTCCCCCAGCATTCGGGAAGCCAAGGGACCTAGAATAGCTGATACAGTCTACTTTTAAAGGGGCCACAGAAGCAAGGGGGGTTGTTCTTTGACTATTCTGATTGGCTTATTCGAAAGGGCTATTACCAGTAATTGACTGGAGAGCTGTTGCCAGATCAGATGAGGTAAGAGGTCATTTTGACCCCGTTTCCCAGGGGACCGAACCAAAACATACGTATATGGGTAATTGTTCAGGAACTGAGTACGTGCGAGTGTAGCTGTTAGGTCCTTGGTTCCCAGGGGAGGAGGAGAAGCACTATGGCACAGAGGCTGAGAGGATTTAGAATTGTCAAAAATGGCTTCAGGATTGTCTTAAAGTCTTACAGTATGTATAATGGAAAAGGATAGCTTGTTTTCTTTTTTAAAAAGTAAAAATAAAATAAAATTATAAAAAACAAGAATTGGTAGAGGAGAATGGGATTTGACCAACATAGCATATCTTGACCACACTGACAGCTCTTCTCTTGAGGCACATGTGCCCCTTTGCTCACCTGCCCATGTAAAGCATCACTGAGGGACTTCCTGCTCCATCATTTTAAGGTATAAAATAAATAGGAGAGAGGAAACAGTTGGGAAGAGGGAGAAAGAGTGGTCCCATTGAGATCAAGTAGACATAAAACTTCTTGGGAAGCCAAGGAGATGGTTTTGTCAGTAAGTGTCTCTGTAAAATGGCAAACCAAGTTGAGATTCCTAGGATCCATATAAATTTCGTGTCTGTGACGCTTCTTGTGGAAAGGAGGCAGGGATCCCCATAGCTCACTGACCAGTTTGTCTAGCCAAAACAACAAGTTCCAGTTTGAGTAAGATGTTTTGTCTTACTATAAAAAAAAGCAAACAAGCAAATAAGTAAATAAAGGAAGAAAAGAAGGGAACAATAGAAGAAAATAACTAAAATTGAAGGCTAAAGTCCACCTTACACACACACACACACATACACACACACTCACTCACTAACATACACAGAAAAGACTACTATGTGTATAACCAATCTTGGGAAGAGAATATTAATTTTTTATTGATAATGATGTTCTCATGATTTAAAGACACCAGCTAAAGGTCCCAGCTTCTGTGTTGAGGATCAAATTTCTAATTTGTGCACTTTGGAAAATACGTTCAAACAGTAACAGCCAAGTAATTGGCACCTGTTATTTTAATTAACAAAGGTGTGTTACGAGAAGAGTTGGGACTTATTTTCTTAACAAATTCAAGTAAATAATAATTTATTGTTTTTGTGGTTATCATTATAGAGTCTGTTTCATCTTATAGTTACAGAAACGTATCTTTTCACCAATATATTTAAAATGGTGACAATTACTTGAGGATGGAACATGTTAAAGAAGAGAAGACTAACTTTGACTTAGAATATCAGAGACTTCATTTCAAGGGCATATGAACCCATTGCTTTTGACCTGGGAAAAGCAAGAACCTCATTGTGGCAGTTTCCTCTTCTTCTAATGGGCAGGAAACTGAGAATGACAGACTGGAAGAAATCAGGGCAAGGTGTAGCCCCTGAAGGCATACGCTGTAGTAATAGGAGCACCAGGCCATTTCTCGCCACCCAGCTGGCTTTACCTGAAATAATTACACAGAAATTGTATTCTTTTAAACACTGCCTGGCCCATTAATTTCAGCCTCTTATTGGCTAATTCTCACATCTTGCTTTAACCCATATTTAGTAATCTGTGTAGCACCACGAGGTGATGGTTTACTGGGAAGATTCTAACCTGCATCCATCTTGGAGAAGAGGGCTATGGCATTTGCCTCATTGCCTTCTTCCCAGTATTCTGTTCTGTCTACTCTGCCCACCTATTTTTCTGCCCTATCAAAAGGCCAAGACAGTCTTTTTATTAAATTTTATTCTTTATTAATGAAAGTAACATATAGACAGATGGCCCACCTCCATCAATACCCCTAATTTCCACTTGGACCCACCAGTAAAGCTAAGCCCCTCCAAAAAAGTGTCACCAGCTAATGTCTGTTCTTCAACACATGAGACTATGGGGAACATTTTATAATCTAACCATAGTATCTTCCTAGTCTCCTATCTGTTAGTAAGCACCATTGTAATCTCTAGGTTTTCTTTTCTTTGACACATTTTTAGCTTGTTTGCAACAGTGAGGTTGTGCAGTGACTGTCTTTTTGTACTTGGTCTACTTCACTTAGCACAAAAGTCCTCTGGTTTCCTTCACATTGTTACAAATGGAAAGATGTCTTTCTGTTTTAAAGCAAATAATTTTCCAATTTGTGAGTCCATACATATGCAAGCATATGCACATATATGTGCACTATCTTTATTCACTGGTAGATTTAATTGATCGTTTTTTATATATTCGCTACTATGAACAATAGTATGTAATAAACATGAAGTAGCAAATCTCTTGTTAAGATGGTTTTTAGTTCCTCTGGTTATAGTCTCAGAAATGGTGTGGTTACATTATTTGCCATTTAGTTGCCTGAAGCTTGTGGCCCAAGTTCACAGACTATCAGTTGCTGTGGTTTTACTACTCCTGACACATTGTTCACCTTTAAGGTCATGGGAGTTTGTGTAAGCTCTATTGTCATTTCCTCTCCTAATTGTCTGCTGTAATTCTTCTCCACGAAGGACTATTTGAGTTGAGAATGCTGTGTTCATATGCATTCTTCAAGCCTGTTAGAGTGAGGAACTGGAAAATAAGAGCCAAGAAGCAGATTTTCTCCTTGAGAAGTGTTTGGGTACTGGACAGATTTTACTTACACTAGGAAGATTAATTGTCAGAAAGTGACATTCCATACCCTTCTCAGATATTAGCCAGGGAGCTAGCTTCTATGTAATATAATTCCAGAGCCAGTTCAGCTTTTAAATGATTGACCCTCTCATTCACAGGCATTGTTAAATTCTTCCCCAGGGCTGAGATGTAAAACTTTCCTGTGTTTACTCCACTGTTTATGTTTCCCTGGTGGAAGACAAACATTATAAGTCCCTTCCTTGATGCAGGGAAATATAAAATCAGAAATATGATTCTTCCTTTAAAAAAGAATCAGCTCTAATTGAAGAGTAGCAAGGCAATTTCCTGGAGGTAAAATACAAAGTACTTGTCTATTCCATTCCCCTTTTATAAATCCCTTCCGTGTGCTTAGAAAATAACCTAAAATCCTAACTCAGTAAAGTAGACAAAAAAGAAGGAAGAAAACACCTTTGTCTGAATAATTAATAATATTTGAAATAAATTTCTCAAATTAGCTTGAACTTGAGGATGTCCGGCCCTTGGGATTGGTGCTGATTGGGTGGTGCTGCTTTATCAGTTCTCTGCTGTGTTCAGCACGAAGAGAAAGGGGCACCGCTGTCGTCATTTACTCAACCAAAATGTAGTGTCCTACGTGTAAACATGTTTGTGTCATGGTCTATGTCAAACATTTCATGTATTTCCAGAAAGTACTAGACCATAATAATAGGTGGAATGGTAGTTTTGCAATTATTGACACTTATGGCTAGATGTCACACAAATCATTAAATGAACTTCCTGTGTTTTAACATGTACTGCATTCCAAGGTCAAGAATTTTATTGTGAGTGTATTTTAAAAACATTGATAAAATTTTTAGTATTTGGGAGAAACCTGAGATCCAGTTTTCCAGGCACAGCTTCACAAAAGAGATTGAAATGCTGACCTCTTTCCATTCTGAAAGCATTCATCCATGACGTCATTGCCACTGCTTTGTTCCTTTGGTGGCAAGGAGTGAACCCAGAGCCTCTCCTATGCAACACAAGCACTTGACACGGAGCCATATTTCCATTCCTTATAAACATACATCTGCTTCAGGGTCATCTGAAATCTGTGTGCCTCTGACATGCTGAAATTGTCCTTATCAAGAAGGTAGCTATTACCAAAATATCCAAGATTGTGCCTACAGGAAGCTTAAAACTACCAATAGAACAGAAATATTTTTTTTCAATTGAGTGTTTTGAAGAATCCTGTATCTCTCCCTCAGACCCAAATCACATAAATGAAGTATCAATTTTATTCCAAGGATATAGCTTGTTGGTTTCATGTCTCCCTGCTTGACATAGATTGCTTCTTTCTACTGAGAAGCCAAGCTCTCAGTAGCCCTGAGTGTGTCTCTAGCCATCCCCTTTGCACCTCTCTCTCCTATACTACAGAGAGGAAGCAACTTCGTTTCAAGTCTTGTTCCTTATCCTTGTTCTGTGGAACATTTTGCTCTGGGAAATATGCTTTGTAAGTTGTGTTCTTTTGTCTGACACCCAACTGATTTGGTGCCATAGAATGTTTGAAACAAGCTTTCCCCAAGTTGATTTCAGAGTCGGTGGGGGTTTCTCAAATGCTGTACATTGGGAAGGTTTTATGGTTATATTCTGACTAAAATATGCTTAATTATTTGGAGAGAGGATGGTAATACCCCAAATGTATGTAAGTGTTTCTACTTCTGGCAAACTCTATTTAAAGGACAATTCTTTTCCTACCTTGCTAGGTCATTTAAGGGTTAAAATGTGGAAATATGCTGCATTAGTTAGCTGGATCTTCCAAGATATGGAAAAAAAGAGTTCAAGTATTGGGAGGCTTCAAATGCAATAAGAAATATTGATGCATCAAACCCAGGAGCTGCACTGCACAGAGGGCTTCTTGGGCTACAAAACAAGTGCAACTAAAGGGAAACAGGGGTACTCAAGCTGTGTTAGGGATGCGGCAACCTCCCCTTGTTTAAACATTCATTGAATCAAACAATTTTTGCATGTTGAATATTGTTACTGTCTGAAAAAGGGCCTTAAAAGAACTGAAATAAACACACACATATATATGTGTGTGTGTATTTCTGTGTGTATAAACATATGTAAACACACACACACATATATATTCATGTGTATGTTTTTTGTGTATATACATATGTGTTTATATGCACACATACATGTATGTATGTATATTTAAGAATTTTTATGAAATCATATGTTTACCTATGGTTTTTCAAACATTTTAGTGTTACTTTTTGCCTCCCTGCTGTGACTCTGCATCCTTTTCCCAACTTCCCCCAAGTAAATTTCTCCACCATTTTTCTTTTTTTCTCTTCATAGCATCCATGTTCTATTCATATATGAAATTCTTAAAAAATAAAATCCATGGTATGAGTAAATAAATGTTTTCTAAAAATCACTTTTTCAAAAGGAGTCAGTGTGATGAATGTGTTCATTCAGAGACTAGTCACGTCTAAGGCCTGCAGTACTGACAGCCAATGGAATTAAGAATGACACCTAACTCTTACAATCACTGCCTCAAAAGAAAAGCACATGTTGGATGCTTTTGGAATTCAAAAAATGTTTCCTGCTACCTC